CCAGCCGGCTGCTTGCAGCCCTGCCCGCAGCGTCCCTGCCCGCCTCGGTGCCACCGGTGCGAAGCGCGAGGCAGCCGAGCGATCCCCCACGGTGGCTGGGGGAAAGGGGAGCAGGGGAGGCTTTTCCCGATGGCACCATCTTCAGCATTCCAGCCAGCCTCCCACTCACACCACCCCGGGAAGAGCACCGTGAAACGTTGCAGAGCTGCAGGGCTGCCCGGGTGCCTGCTCGTGCTCTCTCCTGCCCCCTCCTTTTCCTCCAAGCCCTGGCTCACTGGCCAAGTTCGGTCAAACTGGACAGAAGTCCCAGAGACATTCGTTTCCCCCAGGTTCTGTGAAAACGGGTAGCTAGGGAGGGGAGGGAGAGCCCCAGGTGGGTGCTGGCTTCCCGAAAATGGGAGACTACAGCCTATGCTCAACCATACTGCTAATCCCCTGGGAATCCACACACCAGGGAAACCTTAGAAACAAAAGCTGCAGGCAGACAGGCTCGTAGCAATCGGAGGACTTTGCGTCCCGTTTCCCCCAGGTTCTGTGAAAACGGGTAGCTAGGGAGGGGAGGGAGAGCCCCAGGTGGGTGCTGGCTTCCCGAAAATGGGAGACTACAGCCTATGCTCAACCATACTGCTAATCCCCTGGGAATCCACACACCAGGGAAACCTTAGAAACAAAAGCTGCAGGCAGACAGGCTCGTAGCAATCGGAGGACTTTGCGTCCTCCAGAAAGACACAGGAGCTGCAGCTTTCGGTCAGGACATGCCACAAGCCCCCAGCGTGGCCAGGAACCAGGCGCACCCCCTTCACCAACCTGCGCAGACACGATCTTTCCCCCCGCAGCTGCTCGACCCGGTACATCACTTCCGCATCCAGGACTTCGAGCCGTACACAAAGGTGTCCGAAACGCTGCTGGACTTTGTCATGGATGAGATCAAGGAGTGCAGGTAACAGCAGCCCATGGCCGTTGCTCAGTAGCATTCCCCCGTTCCGAGCCCCTCACCATGACATCCGGCCTGCAGCCGGGGAACGGGCAGGTGGGAGAGCCGGGCTTGGAGGCAGCTCTGTGGAGGAAGGCGCCGGGGCTGCTCTCGGACCCCCAGGGACGGGGCCAAGGCAGGGCGCGATGCCTGGCCTGGGGGAAGCCCGGGCTGGCACCAACGGGGCTGTGCCGCAGGTACCAGGATTACAGGAAC